ATTTTCTTTCACTCCGATTTCACTCGTTTTTGGTTCCACCGCAGCGAACCCAAGGAGACGTCGTGCCCAAGGACGTGAACGCAGCAGTGGCCACCATTAAGACGAAGCGAACCATCCAGTTCGTGGACTGGTGCCCCACCGGCTTCAAGTCCCGTGGCATGAAGTTAGATGGGTTATATACATGTCGACTTTCAACTTGCAACAGCATAGAAGTCCAAGTCTCTCAATTCAAGATGGAAACACCTTGGACTTGCTCCCAAGGTATCTTAAGCAATAATGCGCCATGGCCAATTATATATATATATATGTATGCATGTATGTATATATATATATATTCACTTGTGTATATTTATGTTTATATATACATGCATTTACCTGATGCACTTCCTCCTTACACTTGCGGATATAGGATTCCGAAGATCAAAGTCACTTTGTTTTCGTGGCGAAACTGTTTTTGCATATCACCATCGAACGGTCACTCCGCGTCGATGGCATACGGGATACTCTGATCCAGACATGCACTGAACACCCCAATGCAATGTACAAACTCATTTAAGCTGACATGAAGACATGCCACGACTCAATCGTGCGGCCGGGGCCAGCGCACAATGTACGCGCTATACTCAAGAGGATGTCATCATCCCAAAAGGGAGAAGCATTCACAATGGCACTCTGAAACAGCCTCTGAAACAGCCCCCACCACAGGACTTGGCAAAAGTGGCCGAGAACGTTTCCGGGCCAAGTTGTGCTCGATGATCTTGGATCAGGCATTGGAAAGCTTGGCGACTCTTACACATCACCGAATGGATGGTCAGAACCTGGTAATCACCATCGACCCCTGTGACCTGTGGCGTGGGAGAACAACAGCAAGTTTGCAAAATGCCATCGCAGAGTCGTCATCCTTGCACTACCTGAGTTGTTTGGCAAACTCGCATATCTCGTACCAGTCTGCAGCTGAGTACTTCCACCTTGACGGCAGCGGGAGCTTAAGAGGAATTTTGGGTTAACAGCTGAAGTGGGCCTTGATGGATCTTCATCCCCGACGCGGGAACATATTCCTGGCAGCATCGAGAGTCGGTGTGTCATCTCCTCCACCGGTAGCAATGGAGCTTGACGAGCCATTCTTGATGAAGTGTAGCCGCTGCAAGCATATCCTTTGGCATCCGTGGATAAACCGGGGAATCTTCAAGGTGCACCTTTAAACTGCACAGTCTGCTGTTCTATTGTGTAGCACATGCTCAACCGTTGATCCAAGCCAAGCTATGACAGTTGCTCCCCTGCCCGGTTGCCCGGTTGCCCGGCTGCCCGGCTGCCCGGTTGCCCGGTTCTGAGGGCTGCCCGGCTGCCCGGTTGCCCGGTTCCCAGGGCTGCCCGGTCGTCCGGTTTGCCGGTTGCCCGGTCACCCCGAGAAAGGACCAATCCCGTCCCGACAGTTGGGTCTAGCATAAAAAGTCGACGACGTCCTCACAAAGATGGGCTGGTATCCAAGTGACCCATCAATCTTGGCACTTCGAATGCTGCTTGACAATCCCAGTGGAAAGAAGGTAATTGGTGTTCCTCACAACCGACTTGTTGTCGCACTGGGCCACCGGATGTGGACAAAAAGCTGTCCACAGCGTCCATAACTCCGCCGCATAACTGGAGAGCCCCCAACGCTTCACT